ATTGGTTATTGATTCCAGTATTATATTGATTATTTGTAGACCAAGAACAAGCAGAATGAATCCGGAAAGGGAAGGATCAAGTTTCTTAGGGTTTCAATCTTGTTTCGAGGTAGGTGATGGTTGTGATTGTGTGATGTATGTTTGTTCTTGCTTCATTATGATACATGTATGTATTGTAATGTTGCATCATTGATCACACTTGTTGTAAATGAGATAGATGAATGATGATTACCGTGAAATCATGACTTAATTGTATGATTTTGAGGATATACTTGTTATTGTGATTGTGGTGTGTTGAATGGATCAGTTGCCACGTTCCGGCATAACTAACTTGGATCGGTTGCCATGTTCCGGGATAACTATGGGATCGGTTGCCACGTTCTGACATAATTATGGGATCGGATACCACGTTCCGGTATGCTAACTGTTTGGGTTTGGGTTCCATGAGAGGGCTAATGATTTGATATAATTGCGTATCTTGAGAAATGTGAAGTTGCTCATTGTTCGTATATGTTGATGATATTGTCTATGTGATTATATTGTTATGATGACTTATGTATGTTGCACTTAGTGGGATAGCCGCGTGATCCTACCAGTACACTGTGGTTGTATACTAATACTGCACTTGCTCTTATTTTTGTTGAGTACAAGGCATCTTCAAGCGGCTACTGACAAACCTCGCTTAGGAGATCAGTGATCGTTCGAATTCAAGGGTGAGTCAATTCTTCCGGGCTGCCATGGGTTCTCTTTTGTCAATGTCCACCATTTTTGGACTTGAACTATGTTCTATTAGTTATTAGTACATTAGTTGGGGGTTGCATCCCTTCTTGTTTAGACTTGTTGAACGTTAGATGTTTTGGTGACTTTCAAGTTCTACGTTATTTCTTCCGCATTGTTTAGTTCTTGTTATACTTTTGTTGGAGTTTATGGGAACTCTCTATTTATTTCCTTAGCATTTAGCTTGCTTCCGTAACTTAAATGACTTAGTTTTTAGATTTATTGCTTGGTTGGGTTGTAGTGGTGGTTCTCCCACCGAAGTGTTAGTTTGGGTGTTAATCACAACGGTCTGGGTCGTGACAGCTAGCCTTGCAAAACAAACTTGAAATTTACTCATATTCCCGTTGTTTTTTTATGTCAAATTATATCAATTATTTCATGATTAAGTAATTTAGCAAGGTAACTTTATAAAAATAGGTAATTCTATCAAATAATAAAAAATTATATGTAAATAATATTATGTACTTATTAAATTGAGATGAAATGCATTTAGTTCTTAGAACGATGATTTCCATAGATATGTGACAAGCAATTTAAATAATTATTTGTATTTGTAACAAAACTATAGATGCGTTATTATTCAATTTTAATATTGTATTGTTTGGATAATAATTAAAACGAAAATTGTTTAGTAATCCATATATATCAATTTATATAGGCCAAAATCTATTTTATTAGTAGTTTTTTTTTGCAATTACAGCTTATGGTTTCTCAATTTCTCTCACTTGTGTGTAAGAAGGTTATTTTACAATATAAGGTATCACAAAATGGATAACTAATAAAAAAAATAACTTTTGCAACCAAGAGAAAATGTATAACAGTAAAATTATGATAGAGTAATAAGTACTTATTTTTAATCAGGAATTTGAATTTGAGTTTTATTGAGTCATTTTTATTAAGTGTGCTTTGTTTTAAAATGTGAAATTTTTTATATGAATTAAAATTTAATCGAGTTTCAATATAAATATTAAATAAAAATTGAAGAAAATTGCTTTTTCAAGATTTTCAAGGATGATATTCTAGCGGAACTACTTTAGTACTTACGATAACTTCCATAGACTTACATATATATATATATATATGAGATATATCAAGCTTTTTAAAAGTTTCTGACAATACCAAACTTTTGATTGGATTTGCATTATTTGACAGAAAGATTACTCATTTACTCCTTATATTTATATGAGGGGCATTACAGATTTTTTTTCCCCTCTTTTTTTTTTTTTAAAAAAAAATATTACGCGAGAAAAAATACTTTCTAGGTCACCTACATTTTTTTTGGTTAATTTTATAATTATTTTTATAAGATATTTTCATTTTCATACCTAAGAGATCTGCATTTTTGGTTCATTTGAAGTAGCGAAGAGATCTTAATTCCTCAAATTATGCCGAAATTAAGTTAGAATACAGGTTATACTTTAGTCGAACTTAATAATTTTAGTTCAGATGTTCTATTTTTATTTTTAAAATTCATAAAATATGTATACATTGTTAATTTAGAACATAATAATTTAAAAGCATAAAGCATAAATAAATGACCTTAGTTGATAAGTAAACACTCAAATTTTGAGTATGCACATCTAGACATATTAACTCGTCTTCAATTGTCCAATTCATCCCTATTATGTCTCGTGGATCTCCGACACTAACCTGACATATAGATTTTGAAGGTGTCTAGATAATTATTTTGTAAGTTGGAGTATTCAATTGACACAATAAAGACAATAGAAATGTCTAGCTATAATATTCAAAATAGAGTGCTTACTTGTTAGCTAAAATCAAATTTATATATATATATATATATATATATATATATATATATATATATATATATATATATATGTACTATATCTAATTTAAATAAACTAGAATCTTGTACTCATAAGCTTAATAATTGTGTAACGAAGTCTTAGGGACCACCATTTCGTATTCCAACCATTTTTGACAGTTTTGTTTTGGAAACCAAGTCCTTTACATAAGAAAACGTATATATTTTTTAAATATTATTCTTGTTTATCACATTTTACTTGATTTTTTTCAAGAATATTTAAGATTTTTTTTTGTAATATATGTGGTTAGGGGTATTTTCATTTATGGATTATGGAAGGACAAAAAGACAGTAATTTTATTTCCATATTTTTTGATGAAGGGTGATTAATTGAAGATATTTAGTAAAATTGTCCCCACAGGCCACAACATAAATGTGACATGAACCAATCACAATTTCATTTTATAAAACTTTAATAGTTAACGAAATTGTTTTAGTACTCATATTTTGAGTGATTACACAAAAAATTCAAGTTCCTTTTAAGTTTCATTCTTAATCAATAATATCTATAGTTATCATATCACATCATATTATCATTACATTGTTAGTTTTGAGTTCTTTACATTTAATTGGTAGTGGTAAAGGGAAAATTACGATCTAAAATATGTTATATATTCTTGTATGGTTATATATAAAAATTTTGTGAATTCTTAGGTTTAACTCAATCTCAAAAACTAATTTAAAAGATGAAGATGGTTCAAACTCATATTAAATACACCATATTATTATGGGATCTGTTCAACTGTTCAACACTATGAAATCATGCTATTAAAAATAAAGTAAAAAACAAAAAAATAAGTCTTATTTCTTTTTGACAGAATAAAATTGAAAAAGAATTATTCCCTTCGTCTCATTTTATATTTTATGTGAAGTAGTATGACTCAACACAAAGTTTAAGAAAGTAATGAAGATTTTTAAAATTTGTGGTCCAAAATGAATAATAGAAATTTGTGTGACTGTAAATAATATCATTAAGAATAAAATAAATATTTTATAGTTAAATTGTTACTTAATATATAAATATTTATTTTTTTGGGATTAACTAAAAAGAAAAATAAGTTACATAAATTGGGATATAGGGAGTAATATATAAAATAAAATGTGATGATCTAAAAGAATTGTAGAAATTAGATGTCCATTATGACAAATAAAAAAATACAAAATCTTTTTACTTATTATGCCTCAATTAATTAATTTTGGAAAAGGTAGAACTTTTTGAAAATTTTAAAATTTTAATTTATACACTTTATAATCAATAGAAATAAAATGGTAAATTTATTGTGTCAATAATTATTTTCTTAATAGATATGCCGATTCAAAAGTGAATAAGTAATTAATGAGAGCGACTAATATTTTATATTCGTAAAGTAGGGGTGGTTAATGATCAATTAGCTCATTTTTTGATGCAGGCGTGGGTATAAATGCAGAGAACCTTTGTATGTAAGCTTTCTTTTTTAGTTCCTTCAAATACCTAACTCTTCTCTCTTTTAACTCTGCTTTTCTAATATTGTGACTCTATCTTTATTGCTTTCTGCTTGTTTTGTTTCTCTTATAATCTTCCTATAGTAACTACTGTACATTGCACTTTGAAAATTCAAAGAAAAATAAAAATAAAAATGAAGACATTGTACATTCTGTAACATTTAAACAAAAAAAAAAAAAAGTGTACTGTGTACAGAATACAGAGTTACAGACTACAGAGTAGCAGCAAAATAAGGTATCTTTCATCCTTTCTTGCCACTTTTGGGTCTTGTCCTTCTCAGTTTCAGAGCTGAGCTTAGGAAGTTGAGTCTCTGAGTGAGTATTTATGATAGCTGAAATTAATATCTCTTATTATTTTCAATTTACTTTACTTCTGAACACTTTCTTGAACATTTATTGAACTGGGATTGTGTTTTCTAGGACATTGGTTGCACTTCAAATTTTTTTTGAAGCAAAGCTTGGGACTTTGTTTCTCCCTTTGTGTGTATTGAACTGGGGTTGTGTTTTCTTGGACATTGGTGGCACTTTTCTTTGTAATTTTGAAGCAAAGTTTGGAACTTTGGTTCTTCCTTTGTGTGTATTGAACTGGGATTGTGTTTTCTTGGACATTGGTGGCACTTTTTTTTTTCTTTTTTTGGTAATTTTGAAGCAAAGTTTGGAACTTTGGTTCTTCCTTTGTGTGTATTAACTGGGATTGTGTTTTCTTGGACACCGGTGGCACTTTTTTTTGGTAATTTTGAAGCAAAGTTTGGAACTTTGGTTCTTCCTTTGTGTGAATTGAACTGGGGTTGTGTTTTCTTGGACATTGGTGACACTTTTCTTTGTAATTTTGAAGCAAAGCTTGGAACTTTGTTTCTCCCTTTGAGTATATTGAACTGGGATTGTGTTTTTTTGGACATTAGTGCATTTTTTTTTTCTGTTGGTAATTTTGAAGCAAAGCTTGGGACTTAGGTTCTCCCTTTGTGTGAATTGAACTGGGGTTGTGTTTTCTTGGGCATTGGTGACTTTTTTCTTGGTAAATTTGAAACAAAGCTTGGAACTTTGTTTCTCCCTTCTTCTGTATTGAACTGGGATGCTGTTAGTTACCTCTTTTCCAGTTGTTTGGGAGCAGGTAGCTTGACTGATTTCTCTGTGCTGCTTTTTTACCAAGCTTCTTGGAGGAATTCTCCTAAATTTTCTGGTGTAGTTACTTTCTTAGTTTTATTTTCATCTGTTGAACTAGATCTTTTGAATTATTTTTTTAATCATTAGGCACAAAACTAGAATCTTGTTCCTTCATTTTCTCTACCTGTATGGATGTGTAATGAAGTGGAGGCGTTTCACCAGCTGAACAATCGATCCCTCTCGTCTGGACAAGGATCTTTGGAAGTGGCCAATTGTTTGATGTGTATCTTATAGATTGTTTCCTGCTAATCAAATCTTGAGGCAAGGCAAGTTGTTTATTTAGTTTGTGTAAATTTGATTCATTTCCAAATAATGGATATGGGTAGCAAGAATGATACTCAAGGACAAAAGAGGAACAAGGATGCGGCGAATTTTCAGTCACCAAATATGTCGTTGGACTGGCAATTAAGTGGCAGCAACTTGACAAATGCATCCATGGGAATGATCCCTAATAGCAATCCTTTAGTAGATTCGGTTTTTCCCACTATTTGGGATCGGCCTACCAATTCGCCGCAGTTAAATTTCTATGGTAATAATGCTCAAATCAATCCTTGCACTATGAATCAGCACGAGATTGCAGCAATTGGCTTGGGCCCTGCAAGAGGTGTTATGAGTTGGAATCCACCAAATGCTATGCTGAAAGGGGCTATGTTTGTACCGCCTATTCCTGGAATGATTCCTCAAAGCTTAGCTCAGCTTCCAGCTGATTCGGGGTTCATTGAGAGAGCTGCAAGGTTTTCGTGCTTCAGTGGAGGAAACTTCAGCGATATGATGAACCGGCCTTTAAGCGTCCCTGAGTCTACTAAGCCTTGTTATAGGGGACTGGCACCAACGTGGAGAACGGAAGAGGTTCTTCCAAGCAACGGGTTAAACTCACCCTCTGTTGTGGACCCTCGGAAGCAGAACATACGAAGTGGTGTTGATAGTTCCAAAGATGTTTATTTACCTCATGAGAACAAGACTCATGAGCAAAGCCCTCTCAAGAATGAGAAAAAGAATGAAATATTTGCTAGGTCTCAGGATGAAGGAAAAGAATCAGTTGGATTGTCTGGAAATGAGTCTGATGAGGCTGAATGTAGTGGCCGTCAAGAGGAAATGGAAAGTGCCGGATTGGAGTCTTCCGCGAAGGGCCTTGGCTCAAGGAAAAGGAAAAAATATAGTCAGGTAGGACATTGTTAGTATGTTCTCTTCCAACCATTATAGCTACAAATGATTCCTTACTGAGTGTTCTTATAAATTTTGGCAGGGTACCGAGCTTGATCGAATGAAGGGAGTACAACAGCTGCCAGCTGAACCTGATAAAGAACTAACTAAAACTCAGAAAGGAGACGGAAGCTTACAGTCACCTTCTAGCAAGCATGGTGGAAAAAACAGTAGACAGAGGTCTCAATCTTCAGATCCACCTAAAGAAGAATACATACATGTTCGAGCTCGAAGAGGCCAGGCAACGAACAGCCATAGTCTTGCAGAAAGAGTAAGACTTCATAGTAGAAGCTTTAAGTTAGGGGATTTTACTTGTTTCGGAAATGATTTGAGTTTGTCCTGATTCTAGGTAAGGCGAGAGAAAATCAGTGAAAGGATGAAATTTCTGCAGGATCTTGTACCTGGTTGCGACAAGGTTTGTTTTATCGTTATACATATGGAGAACTTCTAATAGGCATTTGTTGTTCATGTTATCTCGGGCTTGAATTTTCAGGTCACTGGTAAAGCTGTAATGCTGGACGAAATCATTAATTATGTTCAATCTTTGCAAAGACAGGTTGAGGTATGAAAGCTATTAATTGATCTTTGGCTCATTTTTTCGAAATCGTATCTGTTCTTTCCTCAATGCCAAGTAAATTTTTTGGTTGCTTCACAATATGCTATTCAATGTAAACGATTAAACGATTCCCTCCCCTTACTCTATTTCCTTATCTCATGCTGAAGTAATTTTGTCATAAAAAAGTTTAAGAAATGCTGTTCATGGCTCTTATGTGCTTATGAATCTCTCTTGTTATTCTCACAGTTCCTCTCGATGAAGCTTTCAACAGTAAACCTGCGGCTAGATTTTAATCTTGATGGGGTCCTTGCAAAAGATGTAAGAACTAGTATAACCTTCAGAACGGAAATTACACAAAGCAGAATTCAGTGCAGAAATTCCTGTTACTAATACTGGTATATACATTTGCCTTTTATTGCAGCCACAAGCAGGTCCTTCGTCCTCACTTGCGTTTCCACCTGATAATATGACCATGACTTATGCTTCTTTGCATGGATGGCAATCTGGTCTGCTTCAATCAGGTCTTCCTGGTGATGGAAATTGTATTGATGCGTTCCGTAGATCCATCAATTCCCAATTCTCCACTATGAGTGGTGGCTACAGGGATCCTTCATCTCAGGTAGTATTTGGATAGCTACACCTTTCAGGTTTTAGGTTGTATCAATCACAGAGGCGGAGCTAGGATTTTTAGTTTATGGATTCTGAACCACAGTTCTTGATAGTTTTTTGTACATATTAAATGGATTTTAAACACATATATGGGGTTTGAGCCAAAGATACTAGTTTTTTGCCGAACCCATAACCTACATTGTGGCTCCGCCCCTGATTTGTCATATTTGTAGAAGAATACGTGGCATAATGAGTTGTGAACCGAAGGAACCTTGCTTCATGTTCTAACTATTCGCCTTGCAATTCATATCGTTTTCAGGTACCTAATGTATGGGATGATCAACTGCATAATGTCGTGGATATGGGATTCAATTCAACCGCGCCCCTTGATTGTCAGGATTTAAGTAAGTGTATTACGTGTTCCTGTGTAGTTTCCTCTTTCTAAATTAGCATCAGCTACCCTAATGATCTCCGAACTCTCTGTACTTTTAGGTTCTTTGCCACCCGACCAAATGAAAACAGAACCTTGAAATGTTTCAAATTGTTGTCAACCGAATACACTTTCCGTTTCTCTGGGGAGTAAGTTGCATAGATCATCGTAGCACTAAGAAAGATGATACGTTTGGGAAGTTATCACGCGGAGTCCCCATCTCTTAAATAGTGCTCCCGCGCCCTGCCGGAGGAGTTCTGAGTTCAGTTGTACAGCAAGTCCACAAATGTTCCCTTTTTATGTTCATTCTATATAGGTACAAAAAGTGAAGATTTATACAACATGATTGTGAGATTCTTCCATCAACAAATGCAAATGAGGGTTCACGAATTATGCGTTCCGGGTACTATATGCAAGCCTCTACCTTCTGCGTTCACTCTACACTCCCCAGACCGCACTTTGTGGAATTACATTGGGTATGTTGTTGTTGTTGTTGATACTATGTACAAGGGAGAATAGTCATTCATGTTTTAGTTATAATCTGTTGTATCATTGAAAGATGAAATGGTTGTACCCTTAATATGTATTGGAAGAAACTTGACAAATGTGTGATTTGTATGAAAAAAATAAAATGAATATGAATATATTAATGTAGTTCTTGAATTTCCATGTGTATCTGGATTAGTCGAGTCAGTAAATTTCAGATAAAATAGTTAGAATTTGATTTTGTTATTTTTTTTCTTTGTCATTGTACAGCAAATTATATGGTAGAAAGATGCCATAATGATATGTGTACTGTCTTTACCTACATTATCACATCAGTCAGTGAAATGGGGTCATGGAATTAATAAACAACTGAGTTGATAAGATTCTCTGTACCAGATGTCTAATAATCTTACAAGTTTCCAGGAAAAAGAAAAAAAATAAGAAGTTTTGGTGGGATAAGAGGAAAAGGAAAAGCATTAAAAATCTTCCAATATTCTGTTTGAAATGGGGATTGATTTATAGGGTATGTTTGATACGGAGGAAAACATTTTTTTTTATTTTTTGATGTTTGGATGGATAAATTTTTTGGAGAACATTTTCTTTAGGAAAATAAGTATTTTAAAAATGAGGAAAATGACCTTCTGAATTGAAGTAGGGAAAATTAGTTTTATAAGTGACATTTTATGTTTATTGTATTCCCCCATCCAGTGGCGGATGCAGGGTTTCTATTGGGTTCGGAAAAAAGAGAGTAGTGCCTAAGATTTGATCTTGGAACCTCAAGGTGAGCTTTGAACTCTTCAACTATTAAGCCAACCTTTAATTTTACATTTAGAAAGTTCAAAATCAATATATCGACATAAAAATTCTTTAAAATACCTTAAATATATAACATAATTTTTTGCCGAGGGGATTCAGGTGAACTCCCTCGGCTACCTCTAGGTCTGCCCCTGCACCCACCCATCCAATGCCCCAATTTCTATCCCTTTGTTAAGAAGTCCCACATCGGAAAAAGGATGGACAATTAATCTCCTAATATGGACTTGGACAATCTACTTCTCCTAAGCTAACTTTTGTGGTTGAGTTGAGTTCAAAATTCATCTTTATGTTGGGCCTCCATAATTTATTGTCCATGCTCCAGTTCACGAAGTCTGGGTCCCACATCGGAAAAAGGATGGACAATTGGTCACCTCATATGAACTAGTGCAATATTCTCTTTATAAGCTAATTTTCCGAATTAAGTTAGACCCAAAATCCATTTTTACATCCTTGACCATCTCCACCCAACCCACCTCTCACCCTCATAGGTTTTTGTTAAATTACTTAACTCCACGCACCTCTCATTGGTTTTTGCAAAATTACTTATAAATGTTCTTGAGTTAATATTTTTTTCTTTAATTACTAAACACTAGAAAATAAATAAGAAATCAATTTATTTTTTAAATAAATATTTTCTAAAATATATTTTTCATGAAAATTATTCTCTTTCCTACCAAATACACCCTTATATATTAAGGAGTTAAGAATTCACATTCCATTATTGTGTTCATCAAAGAATTCTATTAAATGTATTATTGATTATTCTAATAGTCACACTTTATCAAAAGGATCCAAAGTTGGTAGAAAGATTTGTTTCCATTTCCATCAGATCTCTTATCATTTACAAGGTCATAAAAGCTAGCTACTTTATGAATGTTTATCTATATGTTAGATGAGGTTGTGAATAAAATTATTTAATGTGATTTGTTGGCATCTGAACATCTTTGATTGTTTCATTTTCTTTTTCTACTACAAATTGTGAATATTTGAATTGCAAATCTTTATAACAAATATAATAGTCCATTCTCGATAGGAAAATGTTTTTTCTTTTATTTTGAAATTTGTGATCTTCTTTCTTGCGATTTATACATCGATTGTTCGAGAAAAAAAGTAAAAAATATTTTTAAAAAATTTAATGTGAGAAAAACATCTATATTATCACTCATTAGTTTGAGAAATATATTTTACTGTTGACTAAATCAAATGTGTGTATACACATACACTTAGGCGTGTCTTACCTTGAATTTTCATTCACCTGATTTTTTTTGCTGATACGTTTTTTTTTAAAATATATATTTTTAATTGATTTTTAAAGAGTGAAGTTATGTGTTTCCGTTTATATTTTCAATTGATATTTTTACATGTGTTAGCTAGTTATGTGTTGCCACTTTTTGCCTCGGTGGAACTATTTTTCATGCGACAGTTCACGTGATAACTTTCTTTAAAAAAACGAGAGAGTGTAATACATATACCATCACATATTACTTGAGGTGTGTTTCTCAAATTTATGAGTGATAGTTTAAATGTGTTTTTTACACTTAGGGGCGGACCTACATAAGAATATGAACTCACTTCGTTGAAAAATAACATACATATATATATATATGCATATTCGATCAATTTTTGAAATTGTATAAGTATATATTAAATTTAATTCCACTTACACAAGTGCAACGCTAGCTTAACGATAAAGGGGTTCAATTTTTTCCAAGAGTCCCAAGTTCAAATCTCGCCATCAACATTTAAAACTCAATTCGTTTTTTAAATATTTAAAAGTCTATATTTATTTTTTATATCTTGAACCTACTAGGTGAAAATTCTAGGTTCGTCACTGCTCAAACTCTAAATAGTTTAGGTGTGAAACTAGAAAAAAGGGACAATTTTAGGTATGTTTTTGAAATTTTACTAAAAAAAGAGAGAAGAAATTACTCTATTGTATCAGATTGTTTACGCACCCACTATACAACATTATACACTTATTACTTATAATTTCGTATAATACTATACACAAACTAAATTTTCATCTTCAATTTTGTTTTTTTAACTGGTCTAGTTTTCAAGATCAACATTTTTCAAATTCAATAAACCCAACCTTCTAGATTGAAATCACTACAACCTTTTTCATTCTTGAGATGAGTTGGGAGCGGGGACAACGCAAACCCATACCAACCACGCTCATATTGAATCATTTAAAAATAGAGTAAATTTTAGGTTTAGCAAACATAACAATCATATTAGGTATTAGCGCTCTATAGTTATAGTTTTGCTATTTGCGCTCCATAGCAAATTATGCTATGGAGCATCAGATTTGTATAAATCGCAGGCAGGCATCTCGTTTGTATAAAAGTACAACGATTGTATATGTATATCGGTTAGATAATTGTATATATGTAACTACTATGTATATGTATCAATGATTGTGTTTGTATATCTGCATAAAATTTGAATTTGTATACTATTGAATCGAAATAAAACATTTGTATATCTAATCTCTCTCGCTTTATACAACACAAATTATACATTGTAATTTGTATAATTTGTGTTTGTATAAAGCGAGAAAAAGAGAAAGACAAAAAAGAACTGGTAGAGGAAGATCTGAATTTGTATAATTATAAGTGTATAGGACGAAAATATATGTATATGTATTTGTATTTGTATATACAGTTTTCTCTTGTTTTATACAAACACAAATGCAATTTATACATTTGTGTTTGTATAAAGTGAGAGGCGAGGGAGAGTGGCGAGCGAGATCAGGGAGAGTGTCGAGCGAGATTCTCTGGGGAGAGAGGCGAATGACAAGTGTTTGCTACGGATTACAATTAAATGAAACTGTGGTTATAACATTTAATTTAAATTAATAGTTTGCTATTTTATATAATTTTCCCTTAAAAAGACACTATTTTAAAAAGAATTTGAACAACATCATAGAATTGATAGAAATAACAAGTTTTTTGAAGATAAAAATACAGTCATTTCATTTCAAATTTATAAAGCTAACAGATGTTACAATCTTGGTGTAAACTTTTTCTCGACTGTGATGCAAATATTTTGTACATTTCATTCCCCAAAAGTTTAAATTGAAAAAGGGAATCATTTTACTAAGGAGAAATTATCTAACTACACAAATATTTCTATCATATTTACAAAATTTCCTTACAGATAAAATAATTACATTTTATATTATTAATTTATAATTTCATATTAAATTTTAAGTCAAATACACCTGGATACATATTTTATACATCAAGATACATATTTTTTTTTTTGCTACAAGATAAATTGAAATACGGAGAGAGGTGATTAAGAACAAGATGTAGGCGAATAAGATTTGTTTATGTATCCCAGATGCATGCAGATTATACTATATAAACACTAGATACATGTACCTGGTGTGATTCACATGTATCTGAGATACTAGATACATAGGAGTGTGACGAGCCAGATGGGATGAAGGTGAGCAAATTTTGTCTATGTATATCAAGTACATGCGAATCCACTTGTATACAATGTATTTAAAACAAATTACACCTAATTTTAACCCAATATATCTCGTTATACATGTGCATCTAACACACTAAAATTTGATAAGATTCTAAAGCTATTATACTTCTCTTGTTTTTAGACCTCTAAAAAAAGACTTGATGGTTGTATTTTACTAAAAATAATATCAGTAGTACAGATGAAAATGAAAAGAAGGCTGAAAAAGCAAAAACAAATAAAATCTCCAAGCAAAAAGAAGAAAAATAGGGACTAAGGGTGTGTTTGGTACGAAGGAAAATATTTTATGGAATTTTTTTT